AGCTCAAGCGGTTACTCGCTGACTTCCCACCGCGGCGGCCCGGGTTCGATCCCGAGTCTGCTCAAGTGGGATTTGTGGTGGACAAAGTGGCACTGGAGCAGGGTTTCTCCGAGTACTTCGGTTTCCACTGCCAATCTTCATTCCACCAATTGCTCCACAATCACCCTCACCTATCATCTGGGGCTGGTACAATAGGCCAGAAGTGGCCGCAGTACAAGGGACTTAGTCCCGCCCCACTAGCAATAAAAGAATACATCTGCCCTAGAACAAATGTTGGGTTGGTACTCAGTTCCACGGTTCACTGTAGGAAGCCCCACCCAATGCTAACATCAATATTTTGTCTCAATGTAGAAGTTCTTCATTTTAACGCATTCTCTTCCATATGTTTTGCTTTACCTCCAACCAATGTTTACCAGAGAGATGAGCTAGTATTGTCTGGAATTTTCGGAGCAAGAAAATGTTCTCTCCTGACTCTGAAACCTTAACGTAAATTACTACCCTCCTTCACTCCCCATTTCTTTGTCACCCTTGTAAGCGTTAACCCTAGACAGTGGTCACTGCACAGCGTGGCCATAAAGTCCCTATGAATGAGACTGCGATAAAAAAGTAAAAGTATCCCTGTAACAGGCCGTGGAAGCCCATAGGGTTGTGAGACGTCGAGGCTCCCACATTTTCTCTAGAGAATCGGCTCACGGGTGGCGGTAAGGTTGTCAGTTTCACGCGCCGGCCGCCCTCTACCCCCAGGAAGATCCATGGTACTCATTTCTGTTAGCGGCTGAGTCGACCCCTGGGTCATAGTGCGATTGGAAGGATTAGGTAAATTGAAAATCCCAAATACCTTATCGGGAATCGAACCTGCGACCCTCCGGCTTTTAGCGCAGTGCCTCAACCAAATACGCTACCGTGTGGACATAGATTGTTAATTATTTGTTTTATATATATGCAGATTTATTTGAAAACAGCGAGAACTCTTCATGGCTTTTCAACAATAAAAATGATTCCATGGAAATATACAGTACATTTGTGCGGAATTTCTCAACTGCGCCTAACAACATTCTAAGACAGTTATCAGGGACCGCACTAATGATTTCAACCGTCAAAATGGAAGAAATATGTCCAGAAGAACATGGAGAAAGATTAGAATTTCTGCGGAGAAGGGACGGAAGAGTACAGATGACTTTTAACTTGTATGCACAGGAAATCTGTGTTTCCTCTGTGCTTGTCTGTTTCATACGTTTCTCACAATAAACAGCTATTATTCCCTAAACAGTATTAACCCGTCGGACTCTGAAATGGAAAACTTGTTACTTCCTAATAGATACGAAGTGCATTTTTAATAATATTACATGAATTCTTAAGATAAAAACGTCCCTTAAATATAAATCACCCAATATCAAAACCTCGCCCCAATGCAGCCTTCCCAAATTAATATTGTCACGGATATGGAGTGCGACTATAGACGGGGTGTGGACTGGTGAATAGATTTATTGACCACTTATACACACGACTCAGAACTACAAGCAATTACAGCGCCATCGCTAATCTTAAAAATTCAAAAATCACCACAGCACCCGCTAAGCATTTTCCAGCCTGACGTGTCTTCACTATCCGTGTCCTGACAACGGCTTCTAACATTGGACATTCTTCAGCTTCAAGCTTTCTAGTCCTATCTACACAGTCTCCCGTGAAGAACTCAACTCTGAACTAAATTTGTCCCCTCTTTATAACATCTCGTCACGGACCACGTAGAAACACCTCGTTTCCATTGTTGTAATCCAACTTTTGCCTTATTAAGAACCTTCTGCCTAGCAACGGGAACGTATTTATGGAGCCGTTGCCCGGAAATGGACGCTGTTTATTTACAGAGTCATCGCTTAGCAACGGGTCTATAAGCCAAAATATCAACATTTCGATCGTAAAAATAAAATTCACTTCCCAACGATTTACCTTATTTCTAAATTACATTTATCAGAAGGACTATAGGGTATTGCCTGTGAACATTCAGAGCCGGCAATTTTTCTGCTTACCCCCATAAAATATACTGTCTCTCATTTGTCTCCCACCTTTACGTTCTCTCTCTGTCTCTCTCTTCAGACTACAAAGGCCTTACAGTTTGCGCTTAAATAAAAGTAAAAAAGAAACAGAGGTAAATAATTTTAAAGATGGCTATAAAGTCGGTACAGGAGCCGGGATAGCGACTGGCTACGGGCTGGAGGACAGAGGGGTCAGAGTTCGAGTCCCCATAGAGTCAAGAATTTTCTCTTCTCCACGTCGTCCAAACTGACTCTGGGGTCCACCCAACATACTATCCATTGGGTACCGGGGGTAAAGTAGCCGGGGCGTGAAGCTGACCACTCACCTTCAACTAGTGCCGAGATCAAGAAAATGTGGATCTATACATCCAATCCCCCCATACGTCTACTTAATTAATTAAGCACGGGGGCAACCTTACGTTACCTAACATGTATGGCCGCTGTGCTATGACGAAGAGAAGTCGAGAAAGAAAAAGAGAATTTTGTTTGAGACTCAGGCCTCATAGTGTTCGTAGCCTGTTAACCGGCGATACTGAGATGTACGCTCACAAGTTCCAGTAAACGTAAAGTTGTCCCTGTGCTTAAATAATTAAACACTATGCCATGAAGGCGAATGGGGGAGTGGATATATAGATCCACATATTCTTGAACTCGGCACGATTTGCAGGTGAGTGGCAAGCTTCACGCCTCGGTCGCTTCACCCCTGGGGAAAAGTTCCCCCCCTGGTACCCATTGGATAGGAGACCGGTGGGGCCCCAGAGCCAGTCTGGACGATTTGGAGAAGAGAAAATTCTTGACCCTACCGGGACTTGAAGTCCAACCACTCAGTCGCCCAGCCCGTAGCCAGTCGCTATACCAACTACGCTACCCCGGTTCCGGTGTAAAACCATTCAAACTGAGGGTCAGCTGTTGCATGCAGCCAGATGTTCAGACTGCAATGCACAGGCTGAACACCTGCATTCTGTACCTTGCAAGAAATACAGCGATGTTTTGGGTACAGTTTCGATCCACAGGAGAAGTACATATACCACATTGCTGAAGAGCAATTACATGCAATCGATAGCGTAATTAGAAATTAAGCAGCTAACCGTTTCCATTTTTCTTACCAGGTGAAAACAGCACAGGGATAACGGACATTCATATCTGAGTGTCTATGTCAGAGTCTCAAACAACGACGCCTGAATCTTGCAGCAATTTACGTGGACGATTCATGGAACGACAAAAATACTATGAAGAGTTTCGGATGAATATGTCGCCTGCATCTTCAGGGTTGAAGCAGCGTGAAAGCAGGTAACAAACAGAGCGTCATATTCTTCGACCCTGAACATGGAGGTGACATGTCCCTCCGAAACGTTAGTTGGCTGAACTGTTAATAAGTACCGATATGGTACAAGGTAAAGTTGTCCCTGTAACAGGTCGTCGAGGCCCCCACATTTTGCTTGTCAGCCTTACGCGTCGGCAGCGCTTTACACCCGAGAAGATTCCTGGTACTCATTTCTCTTAGACCCTGACTCGACCCCAGAGCCATAGTGCGGCTGTAAGGATTAGGTAAATTGAAAAATCCGACTACCTCGTCGGGAATCGAATCGATGACCTTCAGGCTTGAGCATAGTGCCTCAATCAACTATGCTATAGCGTAAATCAGTATTCCTACCCAAACGTAATTAGAATATGCAATGCAATATGATGGGACATCAAGAAATGTAGCACACAAGAAAGAGAAAAGTGCAGAGAATTTTGGAAAGCTGAAGGAAAAGAACCACTAACAAGACCTGAGAGTAGATCGTAGGACACTATTACAGGAAGTTCTTAGAACGACTAATCCCCTACTTTCCTTTGATACGATTAGATCCGCATACGAAACAAAAAAAAATTTGAGAGAACATGCAGACAGCAAGGCGATCTCAAAAGCCTACATTTATTTTTTTTTTCAAAATAACAAAAGAATTCTAAAATTGCATGTTAAAGGAATATTATGGGGTTGAAATGGAGTGGATTTATCTGGCTATGGATATGGGCCAGTGGCAGACTCTTGTATACCCGATAATGAAATTTCGGTTTCCATAAAACTTAGAAATTTATTGAACACCTGAGAAACGATTAACTTCTCAAAATGGACTCAGTTACATATGGTTAGTTATTGCTTGCTCTGCAGCGAAATCTGAGGAAAGTGCTTTGAAATGTCAAGGGTATGTATGATTCATTTCATCTCAAGAAAGCGAAGTGAAATATATCTTATATGCCTCTTTAAGGGTAGTTACTCACTTAGATCACATAAAACACCTTAATATTAGTTCTAGATTGTAGACCAGTTACTTGAAATAATTTTCCGCACGCGATTATAACACAAATCCATATATACATCCATGCCATATGTTTTACTGAGCTAAATTTGGCAACGAGAGGACATTGGGTTCAAATTTGCGTAGGCTGTAGGGATCAATGCCAGAGACCTGAATGGGAGTAGCGTGGGCCACTACGCTAAAAAAGAAATTCGCCAAAATTCCGGGAGGAGCCAAACGGAACACCCGGAAACAAGGCCCCCCTCCAACCCCTACTTCTACCTCTATACTTCTGTGGCTAAAACAGTTGCGCGCAAAGTACAGTGTAAACGGGGGCAAGAGGGGGAATCCCGCGTCCAAGATCAATAGAACAGGTTTAAAAGCTTAACTGCCGTTACAGCAGCCAATCAAAAACGAGGTTACAAAGCAGTCTACCAATAGGAAACAGAATACTAGATTACACAAGTTTTACCGCAGTCTGCGAGGCACTTGGAAGTCCTGTGTGTCTCCACTCTCCCCTCCGCCCTTACGGTTTCATTCAGAACGTGTGGGTGTAGGATGAAAGCGGGGTAGTGGAGGGGGTACAAACTCGAACTGGGGGGGAGAGGGGGAGCAGTATGAGTACTGGCTTATAAATAGAAGTGGTCCATGCGCCTAGATCGCGACTTCCAGCAACACACTGAGGACTACAAGTGTCTCTTATAGTCCGCAAGGTCTTTGACCCAACTGGGATTCTTTTGAGAAAAATATTTCAGAGAAAACAATTCACAAATACAATAAATTTTAATTTTAATTGGATCCTGAAGTTGTTATTGTCTGTGCCAAGCAGAATTTCTGCGAAGATCAGCTCCTCGTGAATCAGCATGGGCATAACTGTGAGTACGGTCTCTTAATACGAATCTATAATTTTATTTATTATCGATATCAAATCTGGATACAAACGTTTTAAATCGAGTTTCAGATTGCGTATATTAAATTTTGAGTCCAAAGAACAGATTTTTTTAAACTTTGTATTACTTTCTGTGTTCTATAATAAAGTTAGAATAATGTTTTATTAGTAAATATAATATAAATATCATTTATATTAATATATTATTTCATATTTTAATAAAAACTCTTCAGTAATTACATGTCTTATGTAACAAAAATACTGTGTATTTTACATTTTCGACGTAATTTTGTAATCAACCTTTCCGATTTTGCCAAAACATATTACTATATACGTGTTACTGGGGGAAAAAAAAGTGAAAATTTCTAGTGATTTATAATTTCCCTATACAAAATTAACAGTCTGGTCTTCTGGTACAGAATTTTTAATTGTTACTTGCATGAATTTAAGTTTACAATGTGTTAAATGTTACCCAGAATTTCAAATGTTTCTTAGTTCGTGGAGTTAATTTTGATACCTTTGAAGTAAGAGCTAAGAATATAGCTCAGTCGGTATAGTGACTAGCTGCTGGCTGGACGACCGAGGAGTAGGAGTTCGAGTCCCGGTGGGGTCAAGAATTTTCACTTTTCCATGCCGTTCAGATCGGCCCTGGGGTTTACCCAGCCTCCTGTACAATGGGTATAGGAGGTAAAGCAGGCGGAGCGTGAAGCTGACCACTCATCTCCGCCTAGTGCCGAGGTCAAGAAAACGTGGATTTATATATCCACTCCCCTATACACCTTCATGGCGTAGTGCTTAATTAGTTAAGTACAGGGACATTACCATTATTAAGAATATATTATTCTTAATGTAATTAAGATTAATAAAGCTGACTGCAGTAGTAATTAGCTGATGGCAATCTTACAACAATACTACCATGCAACAGAGAAACAGAACGATACACGTGTATCTGCAATAATCAGTCTTCAGCATCTACCATAAACCACTCCAAGTTTATATAGTTAAAATTATTATATTGAATAAACATATATTGCCCAAAGTATGTATGAAGAATGATAAATTTACATACAGAAATATTTAGCAATAAAGTATCAAATTTACTGTTGCAAAATTAAATAATTTTTCTGTACAAAAATGATGAAGGTAATTTATAGATAGCCACGTCAGTAGGATGTGACGTCAATTTGGAACACATGCATTAAAGTTTTAGAGGAACTTTATATCCCTATGGTTCATGCAGTAGAATTGTCATAATGAGCCAGTATGAGAAATAAATAATTCACTATTTTAAATTACTCTTCTCGGGAAATATATTCACTTTCGATACAGTTATATCCGGCCCGGAACCAGAAGAGTTATACAGACAGAGAACATATGTTTTATTTGTAGCTTATTTTTAATTCAAACATAGAAATAAATTAAAATTTGAAGATGATTGTCTTCTAAGATGTGACGCAGTATAGTCTGGTAGATGCGTACCGAACTTTAGTTATGAATATAATCACTGAAAACATGCTTCCACTCAAATTTATCCCTCTATATCCAGGGTAGAAGTTGGAGAGAGCACTGTCCTCTGAAACGACGGGAAATATTACCATATATCACACTCCTGGAAAATTCCATTTTCATATTCACCACCCTAATAATACGATATCTTACAAATTCCAGGTCGTTAAGAATTGATATTATTAAAAATAATCATTTGATTGTGACAAGAAAAATGCCTAGCTTTCCATTATCTAATATGGTAACAGGTCCGTATCTTTCTTCCGTCAAAATGTCAGTATTCAGTGATTCAAAATAGCTCTACCCCAATATGGCCCTACAGCCCTTTGTTGGGCATTAGCCGCTTTTTCAGTTTCTTAATCTTACACACAGACGATAGGAATCATTGGACGAGTGATCAGCCAGTCGCAAGGCCGCTACCTGCACACAGAACAACATAAACACAGAATAAACATAGACATCCATACCTTGAGTGAGATTCGAACTCATGACCACGGCGTACAAGCGAGCGAAGACACTTCATTCCTTACACCGCGCGGCCACTGTGATCGGCATTCAAAACAACAATTATATAAAACATTTCGGACTTATGTTTTAGGAATATAAACTAAAAATTAATTATTATTTGTTAGTCTTTAGCCACATATATATATGACAATTTATTTGTTTATTTAACAACGCTGTAAGTAATTCACAGCGTTGTCGGTATAGCGACTGGCTATGGGATGGATAACAGAGGGGTCGAAGTTCGAGTCCCGGTAGGGTCAACAATTTTCTCTTCTCCACTGTGTCCACACGGGCTCTCGGGTGCACCCAGCACAATGGGTACCGGGGGCTCTTTCCCCGGAGCTAAAGTGGCAGGGGCGTGAGGCTGACCACTCATTTCCAACTAGTGCCGAGGTCAAGATAAAAGTGAATTTATACATCCACTCCCCCATACACCTTCATGGTGCAGTGCTTGATTAGTTAAGCACAGGGGCAACTTTACCTTTTTTTACCTAAGTAATTCATCAAGTAAGATTACGAGGCAATAACGAGTAAGGAATTGAAAGGGATCTGGAAGGAAGAAATGATAGTATCTGAGGTACTCTCACGGTATCTACACATACACGCGGGGTGAGTGGTGAAAATAACGAAAAATCTCAGAAAAATCTGTGTTCCGGCCTGGATTCGAACCCGATATCTCTTAAACACAAGTCAAAAGAAGAGTTACCACTTGAACCCAACTGTTCGGAATATGTGGTAATGGAATAAATCTAGAAACCCTTTAAAAATTATTTCCACTGATTCCAAAATTCTACCATCTGTACGTCCTAAGCATCTTCATGTCATAATGCTTAACTAATTAAGCACAGGGACAACTTTACAAGGTATTCATAGATTCCGCCATTGCTTTTATTCTCAGCCAGGTCACTGAATTCGGCGATCGAGCGTACATGTTTCTAGAGGCTACAAATTATTGAGAACCTTCCCCCTTCCCCTTTGGTTTGATGACGTAAATGGATCCAGTTTCAGGAGCATGTGTATCAAACTCCAGACAATGGATAAAGTGCACTGTCCATAATATTCACGAAATGGATCGACCATAATCACAAAACCTCTCAAGTAAAATAAGAAAGTAAAGGTTCGGCCACACAGAGCGCTACGTACGCGACGCACGGTACGTACGCTATGTTCGCTATATGAACAGAAAAACATCTCCCTTTATTGCCAATGTGACTGACCACACAGACTTCCGTACGCTACGTACGCTATGTTCCCTATGTTACCTGCGTAGCAGAGTGTACACAGCGTACGTAGCGAACATAGCGTAGCGCTCTGTGTGGCCGAACCTTGAATCAAAGTTGTCACTGGTAAATGCAAAGCTATCCTGCAACAGGCCATGGAGGCCCACAGGGTTGTGAGAGCTCGAGGCTCTCAAATTTTCTAGACAATTCCTTACACATGGCGTTGAAGTTGTCAGCCTTACGTGCCGGCCGCCCTTTACTCCCCAGGAAGATTCCTGGTACTCATTTCTGCTAGAGGCTGAATTGACCCCAGAGACATAGTGCGGCTGGAAGGATTAGGTAAATTGAAAAAATTCGCCTCATCGGGACTGGAACCCGCGACCTTCCGGCTTGTAGCATAGTGATATATCGTATTACGGTGAATATAAGACACCATCGAATTTAAGGTGAACCTCAATTCTTCAACGGAGAACAAACGTGTAACATGTGTTTTATATTCCAATACAGTAGTTACGATACCATTAGTGTCGTTTAATAACCAACTTCTACAGGATTACATGACGTCACGTTACACAGTTTATTACTTCTTCAAGTAGAAAAAGCGATACTACGAAATAAGACACGAGGATTTTAAATTACTTGAACCCACTAGAAGTACAAAGAGTACAACAGGAAACAGAAACCACTCGCGACTTTCCAAGCCCGTCTTCACATACATAAAGACTTTTTGTTTGGTTTACAAATATGTACAGGGGGATAATGGGCGTTGGAGATTGAACGAGATCTCCGGGAACTTGCAGAAGTAGGTCACGCATCGACCTGACGTGCTGCAGACGCAGTGACACACGACAAAGCTACTTTATTCTGCTCATAGTCTCGTCTCCTGCTCAGCTAGACTTCAATTCTCCAACAGTTCGAACATGATACGTACTCGACTAGGAATTTTGCTCTACAAGGGAGAACACAAAACCTAATTATATGAACATCTCCTACTAATGGGTTATTGTTGTTGTTGTTGTTGTTGTTGTCATTATTATTATTATTATTATTATTATAACGATAGGAAATAGATGTTTGGAAAATGTGGCACAGTTCAGATATTTGGGAACGACGATAACAAATCAAAACCTGTTTCAGAAGGAAATTAAGAGGACATTGAACTCGGGTAATGCTTGCTACCGTTCAGTCCAGAACCTTTTGTTTACTCGTCTGCTGTCCAAAAACACAAAAATTAGAATATATAAAACTATAATATTGCCTGTGGTTCTGTATGGGTGTGAAACTTTGTCTCTGACATTGAGGGAGGAACATAGACTGAGGGTGTTTGAGAACAGGGTGTTGAGGAGAATATCTGGACTGAAGAGGGATGAAGTGACGGGAGGTTGGAGAAAACTGCATAATGAGGAGCTTCATAATTTATACTCTTCTCCAAGTATAATTAGAATGATAAAGTCAAAGAGGATGAGATTGGCAGGGCATGTAGCCCGAATGGGGGAGAAGAGGAATACATATAGGATATTGGTGGGAAAACCAGAAGAAAAGAGACCACTGGGAAGACCAAGGAGTAGGTGGGTGGACAATGTTAAAATGGATCTTAAGAGAGAGAGGATGGGATGGTATGGATTGGATTGATCTGGCTGAGGATATGGACCAGTGGAGGGCTCTTGTGAACACGGTAATGAACCTTCGGATTTCATAAAATGCTGGGAAATTCTTGAGTAGCTGCAAATTTGGCTTCTCCTCAAGAAGTGCTCATCTCCATAAGTAATTAAATTATTATACTGCAACTGGATGTTCACCCGGTGGCAGTAGATCTTACATTGATACAGACAAGGAAAGACTATAACATAAAGGGAACAATATAAAACAAAGTACATAAAATAAACAAGGTACACACAGTACAAATCCAAACGCATAGTCACACAAGGGCACGTGATCGTGTTCGTTTCACTGCACTAGAACAAGGACACTTCACATTATTTCACTTTTTTCCATTCAACTCCGCCTAAGGCCTCTGTACTTGTAACAGCTTCCCTAACCCTCCTTCTAAAAGTATTTAATTTACAGGAGAAAGACGCTAGTATGCCTGCAGGTAAACCGTTCCAATCTTTTATAGTCCTATTTAGAGAGTAACCCAACGGATGACCGCGCCATAGCTCAAGCGGTTAGTCGCTGGCTTCCCACCGCGGCGGCCCGGGTTCAATCCCGGGCCTGGTCAAGTGGGATTTGTGGTAGACAAAGTAGCGTTGGGGCAGGTTTTCTCACAGTACTTCGGGTTTCCCTGCCAATTTTCATTCCACCAATTGCTTCACAATCACCCTCACCTATCATCTGGGGCGAGTAAAATAGGCCAGAAGTGGCCGCAGTACAAGGGACTTAGTCCCACCCCACTAGCAATAAAAAAATAGATATAGGTCAGGTCCAGTAACGTCCTCTTACGAACCTAGCAACGAATATTTCTGTTCTGTAATGCTTCGAGGATTATATTGACAAATTGCATGCAGTGTCTCAGCGACTCTGCGTCTTGAAACTAATTGCATATGTAAAGCCGGATATGGCGAATATTTTGCTGAACCTCTCCACGTGATGTAACGGTTTGGTCTCTTGCAGTGGTTCCCCTACATACTCAGTTCACGGAACGCACGGATGTTATGTTGCTCTGCGGAACAGCATGAAATGCTTATTTCTTTCGTCCCATCATTCGATATAAATAATGTTAGTAGGTGAAATGTCATATCATGGTTTCCGCAACTCAACAGATGATGATGCTGAAGATGATGATGATAATAATAATAATCCCATTTATTATTAAATCACATCTAGCAGGGTAAAGTTAAAGTTGTCCCTGTGCTTAACTAAGAAATCACTGTACAATGAAGGCGTATCGGGGAGTGGGTGTATAGACCCACATTTTCTTGACCTCGGCACTAGTTGGAGGTGAGTGTTCAGCTCCACGCCCCGGCCGCTTTGCCCCCGGGGAAAGAGCCCCCGTTACCCATTGGATAGGAGGTTGAGTTGACGCCAGAGCCGGCCTGGGCGACGTGAAGATGAGAAAATTCTTGACCCTACCGGGACTCGCACTCCGATATCTTATCTTTGTCGTCCAGCCCGTAGCTAACCGCTATACCGACTACACTATCCCGGCTCACCATCTAGCGGCGACAGAAAGTAAATAAGAATAAATAAGGGATTATAAAAAATGTATAAAATTGAGAAAATTACACCAATTACATCTAATATTTTTCTACTAAACTGGTAAATAAACCGCCATAACGTGATTTCTATGATATGAATTTCGGTCCATCTCGCGGAACACAGACTGATAACCACTGCTCCAATCTGTAGATGAATATTTGCCATAACAACATGAACGTTTCATTTTTCTGTCTCATCTACAGATGCCGCTCGCCTTCACGATACGTTTCGGCTCCTCTGTCTCACGTAACTTCTTTATCCTTTCACTTGTCTTCATTCTCCTTCCTGATGCCCTCTACGCCTATCCCGTCTTTGGAACGAAACGTTATGGCCGATCAACAGGTCTGCCACATCGAGTTTCTACATGGGCAGGTCCCGCTCCGCTGCCTTTGCAGGCTTACCAACAGCCACAACCCCGTACCCAAACAAACTACGGCCTTGGAATGTCTTCATCTCCCAGTTACTACACAGCAGATCCTCTTATCAACTACCCCTACACACAGGATTACCCGGACAATGAATATTACTACGCTCAAGATCCAGGAAGTTTTGGGAGTTACCCTTTCTACCCAACTAGTGTCACGAACGGAAACATGAAATACTCCCTCTATCAGTCAGTAGCACCATATTATTATGGAGACGGTCATCAGAGGATGGGTTACGGTTACTATGGATATGATGAACCAAATGATCCTGTTTACGACCTGCAAGAGGAACTCCAACAGGAGGACGAAAGAGAGGAACGGGAAGAATCGCTACCTGTTGGGCAAGAAACCTGGTTTGAGGGAGGGAGTGGTTTACAAAGACAACCCCAAAGGGACAGCCTAGCCGATGTGAACGCAGCTTTCCTTCAGAACCTGATCATGAGTCACATGTACAACGATGCAAACAGCGGTCATATCGTGAGGCATCCTCCACATGAAGGTGTTTTTGAAGGAGATGACGATGTTCAAGGTAGATGGGCGTATGAAACAGGAAGAAGTAGGAGTCAGGCTTCAGGAGAATATCAAAACAGTGATGAAGATTTGGAGGATGAAGATGTCAGAGAGCTGAAATCTCTGGTGAAGAAGAATCGCAGTGGGGAACTAAAGGACCACGCAGGAAACACTCCCAACAATTGGTTCCCTGCACCAGCAAACATACAGAATGACCATCCCCAAACATGGTACGCACACAGTTCTGTAATGGACAACACACACAGGCCTGAGTATTATGAGCCTATTTGGTTCCCCACTGAAAACGGTCCATGGTTCGAAAATGGCTGGGGTAGTGGCATGTCATACAAGAGAAGCTATGAGCCTTTGTACAAAAGCATCCGGTCTTACAACAAAAAACAAGAATCAAGCGAATATGGTCCATGGATTCCGAAAGGTAACATAAATTTCTCAGACAGGAAGGGGAATGGGATGATGGGACCCGTTTCAACATCAAAAGTTGCTAAAACTTCTCATGAACAACATGCAGCTGGGTCAAAAAATGTCAAAACTTCTTCCACTGAAAGTATTCCAATTCGTTCCGCGAACACTACTCCTGTTCCAACCACCTCTGCAGTCACATCATCCCCTGTTGAAACGACAAGCATCTCAGATGCTGAGTTCGACTCTAGAAGAGGTCAGAAAGAAGTGGCATTGTTGAGGCCACCGACACCAGCTCGACACCCGTTCGCAGTCCAGACTATGGACAAGATGCTGACCAGGAGCCGAACGACAGCTCGTCATCCATCGTCTGTGTACGACACAATCAAGCAGCTCCTCAGCATGGAGCATGGCCTGCAGAAGGTGAGTAGTGCACAGTCGTATGTCGATACTGGGGAACAGCAATCCCTCGCCAACCCTCAGGGTTACATCCTTGATGTAGTGTGTCAAGAGTAAACGTATTTCGGAAAATGAAGGCTAGGAGAACCGGATAAAATTTTAGGTTATAGGATTTGAGGTTCTCATAGCAGTGTTTATGAAGAATTCTACGGTAACGCCGTATAGTTTGGTGAAAGTCAACAGACGATTTGGGGGGGGGGAATATATTGCGTACATCTTCAGGATTGAAGAATGTGCCAAGCAAGAAACCAGCATGAAGTAGGTAGCACTGTTCTTCCGAAACGTCTGTTGACTTCCAGTGCACTACAATGCGTTATATTCCAGAAGGTAGAACTATTCAAACCTTACGTTTTCTCCTCTTTACTAAACCATAAATTAGGTAATAATTTGAAAAGTTCTGCATTCTGGGATTAGGCCGTACAATCTCGTTATTTGCTGACATTTAAAAAAAAGTACTGGCTCACCTTCAGGGTCGAAGAGTAAGACAAGAGCTCTGTATGCTGCTTGCTTTGCTTATTTTTCGACCCTGAAAATGGAGGCAGTACCTTCCTCCGAAACGTTTATAAATTTATATCGGACTACACATCGTCACATATCGGAGGACAATACTCATCGTAGTTACCGCTTTGAGAACCTCTACTTCAACTAGTAATAATTTGCTTAAAACTAATTATTTATAAATTAAAAACGTTTAGTACATTCTGAAAGTCAGCAAACCGATTTAAAATGAAGTGTAAGTTAAACTACGAATGAATATTTTATTATGTTTGAACAAGTGATAAATTAACCCATAATAAAGAGTCACCCATTATTTAAAATAGCAAATAGTTCAATACCGGTCACGGTAGCCGAGCAGTCTAAGGCATGTACTGTCTTCGCTCGCTCGGAAACCGGGATCGTGGGTTCAAATCCCACGCAAGGCATAGATGTTTGGTATGTGTGTTTATTCTGTGTTTGTGTTGTCCTATGTTTAGGTTGAGGCCTTGCGACGAGCTGATCACTCGTCCAAGGAGTCCTACCGTCTGTAAAATGATCATGAACCTGAAAATCAGAGGCCAGGGCCCAAGGGGGCTGTAAAGCCAGAGAAAACAAAAGGTTCACTAGTTCAAGAGGGTTTGCTGAACATAACAGTTTCCATGACGGTAAAGTTTCATATCTAAGTCCTCTAAGTTGTAATATCGTATATAATCTGGCAGGTGGTTAGCAATATTTCGGAAGACAATTGTGCCTCAAATTTCAGTCAGAAGTCTGAACCACTTTGCTCCTCGGAAAATTTGGTGCGCACCTACCAGACTACACGGCGTAGCGGCCCGGAATGTACCACTGCGTAATTTGAATGCTGATTTATTATTTAAAGAACGTTTCCTTTAGATATGTTTCCTTGGCAACGTGTGATTTCCCTTAGTGAATCGTCACGTACTGAAACTGCGAACAACAATGGCGTATGTTTCTTCCGATGAACTCAGACTTCAAGCACCCCCACTTTATAAGTGAAAGTTGGCGTTATCGAGGTTCTGTTTAGATATACCTAACAATTTTTAACAGATTATTTCACTATCCTGACATTCGCGCTACTCAGTAGCAGAAATCATAAATCTACCCAGAATAATACCACAGAATTCAGAAGAATACGTGTTCGGACCCAAGTGATGTCTGCAATGTCGAAAATATTTCAGAGACCAAGATATAAATGGAAGGAAAATATTTAAATGTAAGAAAAAAGAATGTAAAGTTGTCCCTGTAGCCGGCACACAGGGTTGTAAGATGTTGAGGCTCCCACATTTTCTAGATGGCTGTAAGGTTGTCAGCCCTACGCGCCTGCCGCCCTTTACCCCCATGAAGATTCCTCGTACTCGTTTCTGTCAGAGGCTTAGTCGACCCCAGGGCTATATTACGAATGGAAGGATTAGGTAAACTGAAAAAAATCCAATCATCTCATCGGGACTCGAACCCGCGCCCTTCTAGCTTGTAGCATAGTGCCTCAACCGACTACGCTACGAAGTGCCCAAAGTATTACAAAGTATCTCGACTACTCTAGCAGTAGCTCAAATTATACAGCAACCAATGTTAATAGGATTAGTGAAAAATTAACTAATGAATTTGAAAGAGATACGGAATTGTGGACTGGATTCATCTGGCTCAGGATAAAGACAAATGAAGGGCTTTTGTGAACACGGTAATGAAGCTTCAGGTTCCATAAAATGTTGGGAAATTCTTTGAGTGGCTGAATGAATGGCGACTTCTCTAGAAGGACTCAGCTCAAACTTAGTTATGGATCTGAAAGGAAGTGGTCGTGGCCGAGTTTTAAATATTATCCTGTCGTTTGCCTGCGAGAACTGAAGACAATCAGTGAAACGTCAGAGAGGACAGACGATGCCCAGGCCGATATTCGAAGCTGTAATCCCCCGAATATAAATCAGAAGTGGTACAGCTGGAGCCAATTGCCTCAGTATGTTCACTGCACAGTCAGAGCTGCAAAGAGCGTCGATAAACGAACCGTAAATAATAAATAAATATCTCGCTAAAGCGGAAAGTCCAAAGACAATCGATAATCTGAATTATTAAAATGTTATGACGTATGAAAGTAGGGGAATACATGACGTCAACAAAGGCGACCAATCGATTGAAACCACGTAGTGCCCATTCCTTTATGTACACGTGTCTAGCCCTATATTCTTAATTACATGTACAGTCATTTGTCAAAGTCTATTACAGTAATTTTACGAGTCTATTTTCATCGGCGTTGCTATATCCTTGAGTAGATTCATTTTCTCACTACATACATACATACGTGCACATACTCGTACATGAAAGATTATAATGAGGAGCTTCATAAGTTGTACCCTTCCCAAAATATAATTAGAATGATCAATTCAAGGAGGATGAGGTGGGCAGGGTATGTAGCACGAATTGGGAGACGAAGAATGCGTATATGATATTGGTGGGAAAGCCAAAAGGAAAGAGACCGCTGGGAAAACCAAGGCGTAGGTAGGTGGTCAAGAAGGGATTGGATTGATCTGGCTCAGAATAGGGACCAGTGGAGGGCTCTTGTGAACACGGTAATGAACCTTCGAGTTCTATAAAATGTTGGGAAATTCTTGAGTAGCTGCAGAATTGGCGGCTCCTCAAGAAGGGCTCAGCTCCATTAGTAAGCAAGTAAGTAATACATGAAGGATTACTATCTTCCGGTATGTGAAGACATGTATACGCGAAGAAGTAATCCGACTTTTCCGAGGAATTTTTTTTTAATTCGCATAGAAGGGGTGGAGTCCAGTTGGGTCCACTCGGCACGGCGGCCACTGATTGGCCTATTGTACCTGCCCCGGGTGATTATGATGATGGAGAATTTAGTGGAAACCGAAGTACTCGGAGAAAAGCTGCCCCAGCCGCCCTTTGTCCACCACAAATCCTACTTGACGAGACCCGGGCTTGAACCCGAGCCGCCGCGCTGGGAAGCCAGCGACTAACCGCTTGAGCTATGGCGCGGCCTTTTTCCGAGGAACTTACTGCCTACATATTCACGGCAGGAGAGAAGATTACACAGAAACAAGAGAAGAGCAAGACCGTCGGTGAACCTCTATCAGACTACACGGCGTCATATCCCAAATGTAACACCGTTCATAGTCAGAGACCTGAAACCCTAAAATCGAATAATTCAATTGCAGTACTTTTAAGGACCCGTTAGTTGTTCAGACAATACAGGATCGGAAGGGACGTGGAATGAGGCAGTCGAGGCATTTGGTATTATCACGGAATTTTCCTGGAGGAAATGAAGAAAAACATGAAAATTTCAGTCAGTATAATTATTATTGTGTCCAAGACTCGAATAGGATATCTCCAGAGTAAAAGTCAGATCTCTTACCGCTTGAAGTAGCGTCTTCGGTCTTTAAATTGAGAATACGACGGAAAGTTATATAAATTTAGATAATGTACATTGAACAGTAAGGGATTAGCACTAAGGCTGCTTGTATATACAGGCCGGGATAATGGAGTTATACCTCCATTTCCCCCTTATTCAGGATGTAATGCTTAATTAATCACACAGACAAACTGAAAAAGTACAACATACTAAATGCATGTAAAGGTAAAAACCGTCGAGGTTCATAGAGTTGTGAGCCATCGACGCTCTCACGCCTTCCAGACAATCTGCTCACAGATGGCGGTGAGGTTGTATTAAAAATATATTAGGAAGAAGTTGAGGAAGGAAGTACAATTATAAATGCATAACATTATTGCGGAAAGAAGAGATGCATAACATAATGTGGGTACTAACTAAACTCCGTGGCCTGTAGTCCGCAAGCGAACTATACCGACCGAGCGACCACAGCTTATCGGCGAAGTTAGTGCCAAATTTAGCGGATAGAGGGTGTCGCGTGGTCAGGGCAATGAATGCCCACGTCATTAATTTCGGTTTTCTAGACCGGAGCCGCCACTTTTCCATTCAAGTAGCTCCTCGGTTATCCTCAAGAGGCTGAGTGGACCCCGTTCCAGACCCACTACTTCTCAGAAAATCTGCTAGCGCCGGGAATCGAACCCGGGACCTTTGGTGTGTAGCCAGGAACTCTGACCACTAGACCACAGAGGCGGTACAACGGGAACTAAATAGGTGGAGAACGGAAATACAAAATCTGAATAGAGGTTCCTGTGGTCACGGTTACTACACTGAGGGACAAAGTAAGAAGTGCTGATATGAGAGAACAATTCGGACCATAACGAACGGTGAAAGAGATACAAGAATGATAAAGGAAATGGCATAACCATGTAAAAAGAATGCCTTATAAACGTCTGTTGTAGAAAGTATTCCCTTATTGGAAGACGTGATATTGGATGTCCAAGAAGAAAATGGGCGCAACAATTAATTCAGCCTCTGAACGGGTCATGACTCAATCCTTGTACAGGCAGAATAAAACAAAACTTACGCAACAAATTGATTAAAACTACAACGGTTTCAGTAAAGAGATTTC